GATTGCGAAATAAAATCGTATTAGGCAAGTAGTTAATTTTGTTCATACAATTTATATGATGTGAGAACCAAGTACACTGTTCTGGGCTTATACATGTAAGCTTCTATCAATGAGATATCAGCATTGTCAGGGCAACAAGTAATAACATCTCATTTGATCTAGAAAACCTCTTCACCACCAGACTTTCTCGTCCAAATTTTTCTTATATTCTTCAATATATCTGGCAATAAACCCTCATTTCGGAGCCAACAGATGAAAATTGAGTCAATTTTCAGTTTTTTTTTTTAAGCAAAGTGCAGACTACAGGACTATTTTGTGAATATGTGCTGCCTGATAACTGTGACACTTTGAAATGTTTTCTTGACACATGCCTAAGGGACCACTGACCATTAAAATTGACAAATGGGAGATGCAAGTCTTCGTAACTGGTACTGACTCACACCCCCCCCCCCCCCAATTTCGTCATGCCAAATTGTTACAAGTACAAACTACTAGTTCAGTTCATTTTTACAAATTTTCGTGTATATTTGTTGCCTGTTTTTTTATGTATACAATGTTTTATGTTCTTTCATGTCCGTCTCTACTCCATAATTGGTCTAGTTTCTAATAGTAATTTTAGCACCTATGATACCAGCATGAACTATTACCACCTCCTCAAATTGAATTCTTTGCATCAGTGGTAATGATTGGTGGCCCTAAACAATTATGCTTCATCACACAATAAATAGTGCTATATAGCAAATCACGAAAGGACAGAGACTGCCTCAGATGGACCATGGTTTGCAATATCAACAACTGACAATTCATAGATAGCATGTGTGGGTATAAAAAAAAACAAGTCATTGTCAATGACACGTCCCCGTTCCGTTCATATTTGAGTGACATATACATTCAAAGCAGCAACAATATGGATGTTGAACTGCATTCAGTAAAACAAAATAGCCACCAGTCAGCCCTTTTCAACACAAATTTAAACTAAATTTGCCCACGCATGACTAAGATTCATGGTGGTATGGTGAAAATGTGCAATTTTTGTGAATTTTTGACCTTAAAAGGACTGGCCCAAATGCACAGGCATATGTATGATATAATGTATGATGTGTATGTGAAGTTTGAACTTGATCTGTCCAGGCATGTCCGAGATATGGATCGAAAACTCAATTCTTTAAAACAAAATGGCCGCCAGTTGGCCATTTTGAACTTGATCTGAAAAAAAATTGGAATGCATCAAGCTTATATTACGTTTAATATATGCACTAAATCTGAACAAAATCCATCCATGCATGACTGAGATCCAGTTCCGGAATTGTGAAAATGCGTGATTTTGATGCATTTTCGATCTTAAAATGGCCATCATTCAGCTATTGTTAAGCGGATCAAGAAACAAATGCACATACATATTTGTGACATTATGTACCTTGTGTGTGTGAAGTTTGAACTCGATCAATGCAGGCATGTCTCAGATACGGATCCAGAACTGAATTCTTTAAAACAAAATGGCCGCCAGTCGGCCATTTTGAACTTGATCCAAAAAAAAATGACGTGCATCAAGGTCCCATTATGTTTAATGTATGTACCAAATTTGAACAAAATCCGTCCATGCATAACTGAGATCCGGGTCCGGAATGGTGAAAATGTGCGATTTTGATGCATTTTCAGCCTTAAAGCGGCCGCCATTTGGCTATCGTTAATGAGATCATGAAACAAATGCACATACATATTTGTGACATTATGTACCTTGTGTGTGTGAAGTTTGAACTTGATCAATCCAGACATGTCTCAGATACGGATCCAGAACTGAATTCTTTAAAACAAAATGGCCGCCAGTCTGCCATTTCAAGCCCGATCCAAGAAAAAAATGACGTGCATCAAGGTTCTATTATGTTTAATGTATGTACCAAATTTGAACAAAATCCGTCCATGCATAACTGAGATCCGGAATGGTGAAAATGTGCGATTTTGATGCATTTTCGGCCTTAAAATGGCCGCTATTCGGCTATCGTTAATCGGATCATGAAAAAAATGCATGTGCATATGTCCCATATAATGTGTGATGTATGAGTGAAGTTTGAACTCAATCGGTCCATGCATGTTCGAGATACAGGTGATCACGGACGCACAGACGCACACAGGGCAAAACATAAGACCCCGTTTTCGAACTATGTCCGAACGGGGACCAATGATGAAAGAGTTAGAATAAAACAATGATGAGGGATGACTTAGAGACAAGGGACTGTTGGAAGAACAATGTTGCAGTTTTAAGTCTCTTGGGAGGAACAGCAGATTTATATAAATAACATTGTCCATAAAATGCATACATGTTTCTCATGCATACTAGTGAATTTAGGAATCCCTGATGACCACTGCATATTATCCAATATCTATCTTCACCCAGACACGCCAGACTAATTGCATGACAGGCATCATATTGCACATGCATGTCGATCAGTATGAAACAATCATAGGGCACTGACACTGTATCAATGCCCAATCAATTTTTATACAAGTTATTGTAGTCCCTGAGAGTTCTGAAGTTTAAGAAATATATAGAGTTTTTAAACATGAACAGTCAAAATGTTGAAGATATGGCTCCAAAACAGCATTCACTAAAATAAAATGGCCACCAGTCAGCCATTTTGAATTTGACCTGAGAAACAAGTGACAACTTTAAGGCCTCATAAAGTTAAATGCATTCTATGCATGACCGAGACCCAGATCCGGAATTGCAAATGAAATTTAACAATAAAACAATCACAATTCGGCCATCTTGAATCTAAGAACTAAATGAATGAATATGCCCATGAGCTGCATGATGTATGATGCAACGTAAAGTCCAGAATATAGCTCCGAAACAGTATTCGTTAAAACAAAATGGCCACATGTTTTTAATCCAATCTGAAAAACAACAGACTGGCAATGCGCTCCCATATTGACCAATGTTTGTGCCAAGTTTGAATGAAACATCCACACATATCAAAATTTGGTTCTGGAATGGCAATGATTTTGATAATAAAATAGCCACCATTCAGTCATCTTGAAACAGAACAGGAAACAAATGGTCATGTGTACGTTGCGCAACATATATGATGTATGTGTGAAGTTTGAATGTGATCAGACTAGGCATGTCCAAGATACAGGTGGGAACGCGCACACAAGCATGGAGGTCAAAACATACAGTTTTAGGACTGTGTCAGAATGTGCTATATCCAACTCCTAGTCAATGAGGAATGACTGATTAGGGAACATCCACAACGTCGATGTGTAGCGGTGCTGTATCCAAGGTAGGTAGATGCAATACATTTCGCACAGACACTATATCAGTGATGTATCTAACCCTAGATACACTAAACAAAGTGAGACAATACCAACCAGACAGAGTGACGGAGGAACAGTCATACATCTGTCTGTCTGTACACACACTATAAGAATAATATCCACACTACACAAACTGTCCATACAGGACTTGATGTCAAAGCAGCAGCATACACTCCACAGGAAAAAGCTCGCACCTAATTTGCATATTGATGCCTTTGTCTTGTTAATGCATTCTTTTATTTCCTAAGTACCGACTAAGCTTGAAATGCTCTGGGAAGTACACTGAAGAAGCAACACCCACACAGTCTAACACTTTGAACCAGTGTTCACTCATAAATCACTACTAAAAGCATCACGTAGTGTATGTACAATATATCTACTCACTTCTGATTTGCTTCTTGATATCTTTAACAGGGTCCAACCAGTACTGCAAAGCATAATAAATTATTCAAATTACAAAACTACTATTAAAATAAATTCACCTCTTAGACTTCTTTTAACACTACATGCATAAATCAACATCTGGACTCTTTAAGTGCTTTGGAATATGGTAGTTTCATTTAAATTCCACTGTTCAATTATAATTATCCACAAGTCATTTTCTACATTCTCAATTTGTACAGCTTTCAGTATATCTCATAAATTCAGGATAAAGAAGAAAGTAATACTCTCAAACAAGATTTGTCATTTTTTGATTAAAAAACCCCAGGTGCCCCTAAAATACTCTAATGGGGTGAAACTGCCTATGCTCTAAAGGTATTAAGAAAACATGGAGTAACAGGGAGTTGTTTGTTTACAGTTGAGGGGAGCATTTGCCATAGCTGCGAGTTTGAGTACAGTGTTTCCTGTCTGAATGTTCGTCAGTATGGTCACAAGATCACAAGTGTTTGGTTGCCTCTCACCCCAACTATATCAATCTTGAAATTTTAAATACCACTTTGATTTTGCAAACCATCCCCTCCAAGTCTGCCTATCCCTCAGCACCTTCTCCCCTCTTTTTATCAGCATCACTCTATCTACCTACCATCTAAACCGCAACTCCCTCCCCCTTGCCCTCCCCCTCAGACTCCTCACCTTCTGATCAGCAGCATCACGGTAAGTTAATCCAAAATAATCTTTTTCCATAAGGTTCATGTTATCACAGACTTTATCTAATAGAGCTTGTCCTTTGGATTTTTTCTGAAAAAATTAAGTTAATAAAAAAAGCTGTCTTAGTAAAAATTTTGCGTACATAATTATTTCATGTTTGTGGAGAATATTTGCCAGATAAGGTTGTTGTGCTTACACAATATTGCACACATGAAGGCACTAGCTACACAGTGAAAGTAATGGCATGTGATTGGTGCATTAAGCCAAGAACTGGACTCGCTAAGTCGCGGGTGTCGGGATCCAAGCAAAAACCGTGACTTATCGAGGACCACGACATACCGAGGGACCTCGTGAAAGAGAGGGGAGGGTCATGCATTGAAAACATAAAAAGCTCATATAAACCCTTAGTTTAGTTAATTGAAAGACTAGAAACATATTTACAAATTGTATGATGTATCATATGTGTCAGGCAGTATTCGAATAAGATCACGATTATGTTTGCTGTAAACATTGCGTTGATGCATTGTTTACTTTGTTTGTGTCCGATATCATGTGGGTCGTTTGCTGTTGCTTGCGACTTCAATGGTAACAGCTTCCAAAATAAACCAGCTTCATCGCAATTATAAACTTGTTCGTCGGAATAACCACCTTCATAGATAATTTCTCTCAGTTTTTCGGAAAACGTTCTGACAGCGTTCATGTTTGCAGATCGATCTTCGCCTCGGATTGAGACTTTGTGTATAGCGCGTCTTCTTTGCCATCACATGAACCACTCTGAACTGGCCTCAAATTAAAAGTAGTCATATCTGAGTTGTGTGCTTTGCATTGGGTGATGGGACCAGAGTGGAGTTCCGGCAGACCTCTCTTGAAGAAACGTAAACAGCTTTATCGATGTCATCAATGTCTGACAATTTCGCACGTTTTTCTGTTCAGTCCCGCCTCTTGGTCAACTTTGAAAACAAATTCCCTCTTCATTTTTTACCCACCCACGAATAGTGGGCTCACCCACTGCTAGATCACATGCAACCCTTAACTTGGTTTCACCTCTTCTTGACACGGTCGATTGCTGCGAGTTTATGGCGTTTACGAACGGGCTGGATAGATTTCGCTTAGACATGCTGCTCAGTTGAGAAATAGAGATCAGATAATGAATTCAACTCATTGTAGCGAGTTTTATGGAGGTATACCAAAATGGGACCGGCCGAGAAGCACGTACGGTCACTACCCGACCCCGTACTCGACACCCCTGTTGACACCTTGAGTAAGGCCGCTGTCGCCCATTGCATCGCAGCAATTGACGGACAGTAGGTGTTGAGTTGTCTCTTTAACGGTTAGTTAAAAACACTACTAGTAGTATGCCATGAAACATTAGTCTTTGTACTTCAGAACTGCTGTCAAAACACAATAGAAATTTTGGGAGCAATCCAAATACGCGCGACTTAGCCGAATCGCGACTTACCGAGGCGCGATTTAGGAAGGGGTCACTGTAGTTGGACTTTCTTGGTGGGTACTTGCAAAAAAGTCCTGTATCTGCCAGAATAAAGGTTTACTAGATATGGATTCATTATCATCATAATCACACTGCAGAGATTCACTCTCAGTTTACTCCGAGTTGTTACTATCCACAAAATAATATGCTAGATTTTTTCTGAAATTCATTTCATTTTTGGGATGTGCATAGGCCAATAAAGCGAATGAAGGTTTGAACCAAACCGGGACATGAAACTTCCAATTTAATCGAATTCAATTATGTTAACAACATTCTTCTATCGCAAAGACATCAGCCACAAGCAGAAAGTATGTCATCCAAGGGTGCTGATAATGTATGCGACCCAATTATCATAAAAACATTACAACACTCTGAAACAGCAGAAAATGATTCCTGCTGACATCTGACATTATTGAGTTTGAGCAGTTTCTTCGCAAAGTAAACATGCATGAACACTTAAAGACTAAGAAATGGCTAGACTGAGCTAAACTGATCATTTTTCAAGACTCTATCCAGAATGTATTGTGGACTAACGAGTGTGAAAACACGCCACAAAATATTTTATATTTGAAAAATTTAGTATTATATATACAATTATTCATTTTGGCATTTCTGACATGACTCGCAATACGAAAGCATCCAGAGACTTTATCCTCGAGAAAAACAAGACATAATGTCATAGCCCCCGTTTCAAGACAAAGTTGTCTGTGAATCAACTGGAACAAGTGAGTTTCCAATTGGGGCTGAACAATACCCCTCAAATGTGGTTAAAGGACAAAACTTCGTCCTTGAAGCTGTGTCTTATAATACTGAGTATATATTCCAAGTTTGAAAGAAATTGGTCAATGCAAAGCACAAATATTGGAGAGAAAAAAAAACACTAACAGGATGAACTTTAAGCTTAGTGTGTATTAGAACACAGCCTGACCACAACTATCCACCGAGGTCTCGGTTCATTTATTCATCATCTAATCAAAGTTGCATTAAATTCATCTAAACAACAGTCACAGCAGAGAAGCAGTTACCCCTGGCAACATGACCCAAGAGGTCAGAAAGTCAAAAGAATCCATGCAAAGTGCAATCTCATATTTGCAAATAGCGGGAATTCCCAACATTGCTGAGCATAAATGTCCCACTTCAACAGTTTGAAAACATTGTAAAATTTGTTGTTGACATTCACAGCTACTGATTGTTAAATGCAAGTGCATAAATTTAAAGAAAAAAATGCTTTAAACAATGGATATTACAAATTCCTAAGGAAAAATGACACCATAAATGACAGGCACATAAAGTAGCTACACAAGAAGCACACGTAAATCAAAAATTGCATTCATTGGGTCATTAAAATATCACCATATTTGACCAAAAATACATATATTATTTAACCTTTTCATCACCAGTTCTCTCTTTTCAACATAAATTCACAAAACAGTTCCATTTATAGTCTGCACTTTCCTTCAGAAGATTGGGACAAAAATAGCAAAAATTTGTGAGTAAAAACTAAAAATTTATTCAAGTTTTGTCTGTTGGCTCCAAAATTAGGATTCATTTCCAGAAATATTGAAGAATATACGAAAAAAGTACAGAAAAATTAGGACAAAAACAGTCGGTGGTGAAAAGGTTGAGGAAGCAAATGAGCTACTATTTAGTAACAACCTAATACAAATAGAGCAAATATTATTCATTCCATTCATTATGGAGTGTAATTTTTCAAGTTATAAATTTTTACCAAGGCAATATACACAAAGGAGACATCTTGTGCATGGATGTCTTTCACAATTGACTACCAACTGGCATTGTCAGCGACATGTACAGCTTAGCGGAGTTTCTAAAGGCATACAATTTCAAGGCCAAAACTGCTGAAAATATCAGATTATTTTGCAGGGCAGTCAGACATATCAGAGAGCAGCTGTTTGTTGACAGGTTTTTTCTTTTTTGACGTATCAATTCTGCCTTGCATATATGCTTTGACTCAACTGCAGATTCGTACGATTTAAGACCAATCAGAAAGCTTATTTGTTGACATTTTCTTTTTGACGCATCAAATTCTGCCTTGCATATATGCTTTGACTCAAAGGAGAGATGTTGGCAATTTAATAAATAAACACTGTATGAATCAGTATTTGCTCTATTAGTAGCATTTGCACTTATGTAAATAGCTATGTGTATTGTAAATATGTCATTAATGACCTATAATGCATGCAGTGGGAGATGCATTTAAAATATAGTAAATATAATATTGGGGCATATTCAGCAATTCTGCACAGTAACATTTTAAAACAACTGTTAGTAACGAGGAACTTGTAAAAATAAATATCTTATACTCTTCAAAGTTTGTATGAAATTTCACCCCCACGAAATGATGGAAAAATAAACATAAGGAAGTGCAACTACGTGGAAACGAGGTTACTTAAATGTCAATTCAAGTTTAGTGAAAATATAAGGATAAGTCCCCCCTCAATTGTTTAAGCGCTACAGTTGTCAATTCCATGTAAACAAACAATTTATTTAACACATGTTGTTTACTTCACTACTGTGAAATACTTTATTTTCGCTGGAATTAATTTTCGCTGAAAAGACTTTTTGGGCGTTTTTGTATGGAACTTATTTTCACTGATTTTTGATGAATTTAATGTGAAATATAGGAAAAAAAGTATATTCGCTGGATTTTATTTTCACGGAATCATTCCTTCAGCGAAAATAAAGTATTCTACAGTATTATACTTTATGGACTGGATAACAGTTTTATCATACACCTTGTAGGTGTAATTACAATTTTACCACGGCATGATCTCAAACACACAAGCTAATTTAGAATGGCACACTTTGTTTTAAATAATGAAAGCTTGGCACGCTGAGCCAGGCGTGATACAGGAAATTATTGCTCTGATGTGAGGGGCCATACCGTTATGAGGCAGGGCAATACAAGGTGTATGATAAGGTCCCATATCAAACATAATGCGACACGACAACTGTGGCACTTTAATCAAAACTAACAAGCATACAAATTTCATTTTTCACTCACCTCAACTTCACACATGACTTCTGTCGAATCCATCAAGAGGATTTTAGCAGACTGCATCTTTGGATGTCTAGAAGGAGCCCTTTTCGGCTCCGGTGACTTTTTAACTGGTGATCGCTGTTGAGGTGGAGGCGGACGATTCTCCTCAACTGCTGCAGTCTCCGCCTGACCTTCCTCCGTCGTCATCTTCTCTTAGTCTGCAAAGTAAAAGAAAACTTTATTAATACATTGTCGAAATACGTTTTTCTAACTGGTACAATTCACAGACCGACATAATCGACCAAAGATTACAAAGAGAATGTATTTTCGGATATTAACATATTCTTTTACGGCTGGGCTAAGGTGCAACTGACGTCCTTTATGCTTACTTCCTGTTTGTCTTGCAGAATAATATATAATTTATCACAATTACCATCTGCACATTTTATTATCTAACACAAGGGAATTATTTTTGTCAATGACCTATAAATATCAATGAATTATTAACTTAATAATCTTAATAAAACAATTACATTGTATTAATGTTTGTGGCAAGTCTGACAAGTTATTGATTTTGGTGATGAGCCATATTAATGAATCCAGAAGTATGGATGAGGGCAGTTTTCTTTACACAGCACCTTGAAAAGGACAAATTGCAGGTGAAGATGCAACTATGAATTACAGTCGAAAATCTAAAGATGAATCACTTGTGTAATTAGAACAATGAACACAATGTCTTGTCTTAATTTGAGCATTGAGGTAACGAGATTACATTTTCGTCATGTCTAACTGATTTTTATCTTCAGTGACAAATGTTCACATTTTTGAAGACAAAAAATTTGATAAATTCTTATTGGTAGTGTTTTTTTACCCCCAAAAATACCAGGATGTATGACCTTTTGGAGGACATTCATATGGCCTATTGTAATATTAGCCATATAATGTGAAAGTGCAACACTTAAATAGAAGTACCACCTGCCATCCAGAGGAAACTCGTTATCTGTATTTTTGCTATAGAAATTTGTATTGACTTTTAAAAGTAAATATGTTATCAACACCACCAATACATACACACAGCTGTTATTTCACCATTTGATGAATTACTGTTTGATTTAATATCTTTACAATCTTTTCCTGTAACTGGAAGTGATGAATGCATGGCAATGACAGACTGTTCTTTCAACACAATGCATGGCGATAATGTTTGGAATAAAATTTGTGAATAATATTGGATACATTTTCAATAATTTTTATTCTTTCAATTTTTCAAATCTCTCCAAGTTCCTAAAATGATATGTTATTTTATTATTAGGTGACCAGGAATTTTTCTAGAAAAATAAATTTGAGAGGCAGCACAACATTTGTTACATTAGTAACATTTTATCCATTATAACTGATCATAATCTACTGACTGTTCCAGGTTCTGTAAGAGGGCGCAAGGCCGGGGGGTATGAGGGCGCTGCACCCAGTTCCCCTGTCTGGAAGAACCCCTGGGTGACCATTAAAACATTCAATTCCTCATGCTGAGTTGCCAAGTAATAAGGCCATCCATGGGAAGTTCAGATACTGATAAATCAACCAATCCTATCATCAAATGAGTTGTACCTCAGGTAGCTACACAAAATACCCATACAATACAGTAAACAATTTATTCTTTGGCAAAAGCGTTATTTACATCGGAATGCAGGTTCATTGTTGAATGGGTACTGCCTTAAGTGGTTAAGTTGTGAGTAATGACACTAAATATGGTACTATTTTCTGTTTAAAGTGGATCTTATGAGCATTGAACCATAGAGTATAGAATACACAAATTACAGCCTAGGAAGTCCATGCAAGCAATCAATATGGGTCGACCATTAGAAGAAGTTCTGGAGTGGGAAATTAGAAAAGTTTTGTTTTTTTCTTAACTATGAAATGTCTGAGCTGTATTTCTATTCAATGTGCATTGTTGTTTTTTTTACCTGTAAATTCTCATCTCACCCCATTATTTCAACACTTACTACCAATAGTTACAATAATGGTCCTATTTGCTGCCTCCTTTGAATTAGAGACACAACTCTTTTTAATCTCACATCATTACCATTGATAATTGGCAGAGTATTTCAGAATATGCAGTGTCATTATTGTTAACACAGTCAGGTAAATCTACTACAGTTGACCTAAATACATCAAAGCACTACAATCACTTGTTAAAGTAATTTGGCCATTTTTGATGTAAAAAAAAACAATTTTTATAATCTAACATACAAACACATAAAAATCAAAAATTTGACTGCTATCAGACCATGCCCATACAATTTCTGACATACGCATTATCTAATTTATAGCTGAAAAAATTTTTGAGTTGAAAATTAATTATTAAAATATCAATTTATTTTATATCATTGAGAGACAACCTAGAGTAAGACATTAATCATGAAAATAGAGAAACATGCAGCATAAGCGTCCTTGGTTGGGAGTGGGTTCTTTATTAATTTCCATATTTTGCCATAGTATGTAGTATGATAAGGACTCAAGATGGTGAAAGGCTTACAGCTTACATGGTCTTGAATCAGGTACATGTCACCATTTTTCACATAATATTATCTTTGTTTATAGCATATGGGACCTTAAGATCATCATAGTATGCAGAATAAAGGGCCTTGATTAAATGGTTATAGATTGTAGGATAAGGGGCCTTGATAAGATGGTTATAGCTTGTAGCATAAAGGGCCTTGATTAGATGGTTATAGCTTGTAAGATAAGGGGCCTTGATAAGATGGTTATAGCTTGTAGCATAAAGGGCCTTGTTTAGATGGTTACAGCTTGTAGGATAAGGGGCCTTGATTAGATGGTTACAGCTTTTCGCATAAGGGGTCTTAATAAGATGGTTACAACTTTTAGCACAAGGGGTCTTAATAAGATGGTTACAACTTTTAGCACAAGGGGTCTTGATTGGATGGTTGTAGCAAGTAGCATAAGGGGTCTTGATTAGATGGTTTTAACTTTTAGCATAAGGGGTCTTGACTAGATGGTTTTAACTTTTAACATAAGGGGTCTTGATTAGATGGTTATAACTTTTAGCATAAGGGGTCTTGATTAGATGGTTATAGCTTGCAGCATCATAGTCTTGATTATATTAGATCGCTATAGCTTGTAAGATAAGGGGCCTTGATTAGACAATTATAGCTTGTGGCATAAAGGGCCTTGATTAGATGGTTATAGCTTCCAAATTAGAAGGGCTCAATTCAGAATGTACCTTACACAGCAACTAGTTGTATGATATGCCCTTACAAATTTTGTTTACATGTACATGTACGCTGGAACTTTTACACTAATATCCCACCCATGTAATTTCCCTGCCTAAATGCATCATAAAACAGCCAATTATAACAGAAATGTCAATTTCCTGACTTCAACTGATTAATACTTGCAGACAAATGTCTGTAAAGCACCTTGAGCCATCATGCCTTGTTGATAACAGTCAATATGAAACTAATACATGGTCTAAAAATAGTAACATTATTAAAACTAGGTAGGTATGAAATGGTAAATGAAGTGACATTAAAATGATATGAGTGATGGGATAAAATGGATGTATTTTCATCCATATTTGCCACGATGTTGAACTAATCGAATAGAACTGACATGCATAGCATTTATTGTTATATTAAGGTGATTAACTATTCTCGTGAGCGGAGCTACATCACAAATTGTTCTACGTTGCTAAGATGCACACCACTGTACCATGTATCTCAATGAGCTCTGTGCGACCTGCTCGCTCGCTTGAAGAGCCGATGAAAGCTAAAGTCAAGAAAAAAAGCACAAACTCAATTTTGAAGTAATCCTGAGCAACCAAATCAATATATCTTGTACATGTAGGGGTAATCTTGTTACCCTGTTCAGGGAAGTCTCAACTATCCCAAAGTACAGTTTTCAACCTTTGTTTTCACTGTGATGGTTGCCAGGTGGTAAAAAATGTCCGAATGTCTACACCTAGAAAATAGTCCAATACAAAGTATGACAGCAATGAACAGGCAAAACCATTTCAAAGCATGTTTTGTTTTTAGGTTCTTTCTGAAACAGAAAATTTGCTGACCAAGTGGTTTATGTAAAGAATATAAACTTGTCCATGAATTGTCTGCTTTTCAGCAATGCTTTCTCGGCTGCACAACAAATATTTTTACAGTCACTGAAATTGGAGGCTTAAACAGTTTTGATGTAGGTTGAAACATGTCTAATTGACCCCTCAATTCATTCATTACTTACACTCAAATTCACATAAGCAACCCTCAACAACCATTTCAAATAATTCGAGGCCAGCTCATGTTCAGTGCAGCAACAATAATCATATTAATATTAATTAATCAACACCTTTTTTTCCCCCAATTAGATTTTGGCTAGAGACTATAATGAGCCAGATTTATGCAAAGAAAATTTGTGTCAAAATTCATCGTGTACATCATTTGGCATGTGCAATGCATTATGGGAAAGAACTTCACATTGAAAAACTCGTATAAATGAATGATTTTTTCATCTCGTGCCATGAAGTAAAATGGTTAGCAATATTGTTCTTTGTGACCCCCAGCAGAATGCCAATCAGCCTCCCGGCTTATTAATTAAAAATTACTACGAGCGGAGGGAAGATGCGTAACAAGGTTATCAAAAGAATACCGCAAAATACTAGTACAACAAGGGCAGTTTGGGATGACATATGCTATCAGTCCATCAATATAGTCACCATGCTGTCTTCATGCATAAGCTGCGATAATGAAAAACACGAACAAGATGGGATATGATCTTCAATTTGGTCTAACCGGCCTTAATAGATTGTAACTAAATTATCTGGTAAGTTGGCAACATGCCATATACATTAATTACACTCACTACATTACTTTTCAGCCTTGATTAATTATTCTGATATTTTTAGATACAATGTATGTGTGCTTGAATTAACAGTAACAAGATATAGCAGGTACCATCAAACACACAGAAGAGCAACACATTCTCTATAAATTACCAGCAGACGGACAATTAAATAAACACCCTCAAGCAATAATAGAGGACTGAAAGATTACCATGACAACACTTGCAATAGCCAAATAACAGATTACCATGGCAACACACATTCGATGGAGTTTGTTAATATTCAATAAATGAAAAATAATTGCCATCCAACTATTTTAAATGTCAGGTATTTAACAGCGACACTGGAGGTCAGTGTTAAGGCTACACGAGC